TCGAACCCTACCTCGCCTACCCCGCTGCCCCCTTAGCCCGCCGACCCCGCTGAGTTGCCGACCCTATCGCCGCCGACCCCATCGACCCCACATCCTCCAACCTCTGATCAATGTGTGATTTTTTTTTTAAATTTTGCTGTTAATTTTTGAGAGGGATATGAAAAATGTTTTGACTGTTAATTTTGCTAGAATTTGGTAGGATTAGTTTTTATTTTGTGCAATAGGATGAATAATATCATTTGGGAGTTAGGGTTTAGCAATTATTTACATATGATGAATAATAATTAGGGTTTAGCCATTATTTGGGATTGATTACGGTATTAAATTTGATGAATAATATTTTTAGTTATAATAGATTATTTGCATGTGATGGACTGTTGATTTTTAGTTACGATGACGAACTCCATACCCATTATTTGTTTCTTCAATGGGAGCCTCGGCGTCGGAGTGAATAATTTGCCTATGTATGATGGAGGTTCTAGAAAAATGTTCATGCTATCTAAGTCGTGTATGATAGAATGACTAAGGAAATACACAAGAGTTACTAAAATTAAGAAAGAAGAATATGCAATTAGGGTGTTCGTCAACTGTCCGATAAATGAGAGTAGAACTATTGCCGTGGAGATTACCGACGATGAGGAATTGAATGACATGAAACAATTAGTCGAGAAGCAAGCGTCAATTGAGTTGTTTATTGAGAAGTATCCGATTCAGGAATTTGCCCAAGTTTCACGATCTCAAGGAGAGTTTTCTCGGATGCTTGACTTAGACAACGAGTCGAGTGGTTTTATGACATCTCCAAGTCAAGAGCCATGGTTTCAACCACAACATTTAAGTGGGTATTCTATCGGTGGGACGTCAACTAATATATTTAGCGACGCTTCAGGTCATGTTACGGGTTACCCACCTGTCGGAGCAATTATAGAAGATGAAGCAGATGATGATTCAGATCATATTGAAGAAGATAACGTGCAAATTGATAGCATGCATGTGGCAGTTGGAATCGATGATGACGCTCGTTGGATGGAGACTTTAATGTTAACAATGATTATGTGGTAGCTGAAGATCTGTTGCCCGACGAGTTTCATAATGAGGATTGGATAAATACTTCTCAAGCTGGATTTGTTGATGTTGGTCCAAATTTTCAATGACTTGAGGACTTCACTTTTAAAAAGGGGATCTATTCGAGAGCAAGGAGGTACTGATCTTTGCAATCCGAGAATGATCCATCAAGAATCGAGTTAAATTCAAACCGATAAAAACTAATGCAATAAACTACAATGTGTAATGTTTCTTTAACGAGAAGATTGAAGTAGAGAACGCAAATGAGCAAGATGAGAGAAATAGAAAATGTCCTTGGTTGCTAAATGTCGCCGTGAGAAAATCATCAAATGGGCAATTTGTAATATCTAGATATTGCGGATTTCATACATGTTGCAGCCCGTCAGTGGATGTCGATGATTATTCTGCATCTTCTTCTTATATATGTAAGCTAATTATGCCTGAAGTTAGAGTTGAACTTGATCTGAATGCAGGTCAGATATTTCAGAGGGTATATGACATGCGGGGGATTAAGATATCTAAATATAAGGCATATGATGCAAGGAGGAAAGTGTTGTCTAAAATTTTTGGAGATTGAGAAAAATCATATGAATTACTTCCACAATATCTTGAAGCTATCAAGCAAAATAATCCGGGTATTGAATACGAAATATTATCCGAAGAGATTGCACCGGGTATAGAGAGGTTCACTCGAGTGTTTTGGGCATTTGGTCCTGCTATTAAGGGCTTTACTTTTTGTCGTCCGCTATTGAACATTGATGGTACACATTTATATGGAAAGTACAAGGGCGTGCTTCTTGTGACGACCAGTGTAGATGCAAATGGTGGGTTATTTCCTCTAGCATTTGCAGTCACGGAGGTGGAAGATACGTCTAGTTGGAAGTGGTTTTTTGAACTTATATACAAGTGGATTCCAAGTGTCCGTGCGCTAAGAATAATTACTTTTATCTCGGATAGGATGAAAGAAATTATAAGGGCGTTACATGAAGGTTTTAGTGCACCACATCACCATCGATATTGTTTAAACCATCGATATTGTTCAAGGCATATAAGAGATAATTTCAAGAAAAAATACTGTGAGATTAATTTGCAAAATCTTTTGTAGCAAACCAAGTGTGCAACCGACACATTAGTGTATGAACATTGCAGGGAAAAAATCAAGTCTTTGTCATTAGATGCACATAATTGGATTGAAAATAACTTGAAGCCTCAATTCGAGCATCGGTGGGCATTATGTAAGGATGAGGGTGTGTGGTTTTGCATGATGACAACTAATTGCTCCGAGAACTTTAACGACGTTCTTAAAGAAGCACGAGCTATGTCAATACAATCTTTTGGTTGCGAGAATGTTCTATAGACTAAACGCATATTTCAACAAAAGACATGGTGATGGCATAGACTGGACAACACGTTACACAAAAAAAAATAAGGTCATTTTGCATAAAAGAATTGAGGCAACAAGATCATATCAAATTACTGTATTCAACGACAATGAATGACAGGTACAAGATTGTGACGGTATCTACATCGTTAAACTATTTGATGTTGATTGCACTTATACATATAACATACCACAACTCCAAAAAATACCCTGTGCATATATGCTTGCGGCTTCTTCCAATCAGCCGGGAGGTGCTAGAATTCCCTATAATCGGTATTGCTCGCCTTGGTATTCAATAGATCACTATCAAAAGACATATAGTGAGAGTTTTTATCCACCTGATGATAGTCCGTATTAGACCACGTATAATTCCACCTCAAACCGAAGACAAGCAGGTCGACCGAGTTGTCAAACATAAAAATGTAGTCTTTGCAAACAACCGGGACATACTCGACCTCGTTGTCCATCTAGACACAATAGATAGCAACTAATTGGTAATTTATATGCTTTTTTTATTTTTATATACTTTAATAAAGAAACTTAATTACTATTTGATAGATTATTGATGTGTATAATTGTATGTGCAGGTTTCTACACTATGGATCCTGGGCCGGTTAGTGATGAGCACTATTATAAATGACGATAAATAGCCCCGCAATAGCGGCGCTAATAGCGTTAGCGGTCCCTTTCCGCGACGCTATCGTCCGCTACGCTATTGCGCAATAGCGGTGACATATTACGGAATATGTTTGTTCGCAAAAGCGGTCAATAGTGTGTCATAACGGTAAATAGTGAGTGATTGCATTCGAAATTTGCTTTTTGACTGCATTTAGAAACGGTTTGAGGCTTATTTTTTAAAAATTAAACTCAATCATTGATCATTGCATTCCACCGTCTCTTATGATTTTTAGCATACTCCCGCCACCTCTCATAGCCTCTGGCACCTACCTTGATACTTCCTCTCACCTTCTTCACCGTGAGCTCCTCTTAAGACAGTCTTGTCACCGCTAAGCTCTTCTTCTCGAAGACGACTTTTTGACTCTTCTAATCATCTTCGGTATTACGTGATGGTTACATGTCTATTTCATGTTTAGGATCTCTTTTAATCATACAATATGTACTTTTTGATTTCGTAGATTTTTTTAATTTTTTTTAGTATTTATACATATCTAAATTACACCACTATTTGACTTTACGCTTTTTACCGCTATTTTGCCACAATAGTCTGAAATAACCTTAGCGATGCCTCACCGCTACGCGACACTATCCGCTATCGATAACCTTGGTGATGAGGTCTTATATGACCAGGCTCAGCATCATTCACATATTATATCATGTACAGAGATAATTTAGTTACTTTGTAATTGTAATATTTGCATTTACATAATATGGCATTCTTATACTATCATTTGCTCTACAGAGAGGAGGGAGTATCGTTATGATTGATCATAGCCTCAACCATAGCCGTTGGCAATTAGAGGACGAGCGTATCATATCAGCTATAAGACGAGCCAGCTTCTTAACTTGTTCAAAGCTTCATTGGATAAAGCTCGATTGGCCCCTACTCACCGCGTTGATGAATAGATGGAGACCCGAGACCAATATTTTCCACTTCCGAATGGGCGAGGCTACCATTACTCTACAAGATATAGTCGTGATACTCGGTCTCCGTATAGATGGTCTGTGCATTACCGGCACTGATAGTGATGTATGACCGACAAGATGTGAGCAGTTGTTAGGTGTAGGTCCAGAGTCAATGTCTCGAGGAAATATTAAATTGAAGTGGTTGAAAGAGACCTTCTCAGTACCGTTGCCTGTTGATGCCCCATAAATATTGGTTGACCAACATGCACGTGCATACATTATGCACATGATTGGTACTATATTATTTCCAAATTCAAGTAAAGATAAAGTGCATGTGAGTTATGTGTATTTATAATATGAATCTGTATTTCATTGAATTAGCTTGTTTTAATAATTTAGAATATTGTGAATATGCTAGGTGGTTACCACTCCTCGAGGACTTGGACGCATGTGGTACAAAATCGTGGAGTAGTGCTGTTTTGGCGTACTTATATAGAGAGATGTCAAAAGTGGTATTTATGCAAAACAGTGAGCTTAAAGGGTGTCTAAGCTCATTGTAAGTATGGGCATGGGAGACACTTCATTTGAAGTCGAGACTATGCACAAATTTATCATTAGATGGACAAATTCCACTGGGATGCAGGTATTGAATTTTTTATGTAGCGAATATAATTGTAGTTATCATTGTAGTACTAAATGCATAACCAACATTTTTTTATAGATGGAATGTCGAAAAATGTTATGACAAGACCTCGGCTAAACAATTAGATTTCTACCGAAATGAGCTTGATCGTATGAAGATTTTTCAGGTAATTCTCCACCAAAAACATGCACTTTTTCTTCTACATATCAAATTTACTTTTCTGATATGAAATGATTAAATTTCTGTAGATGGAATAGGAGCCCTACACCCAATTTCTACCTCAGCTACCCCCAATATGCACAGAATACCAAGTTGTATGGAGAGCTAGAGTTTCTCTTATATGTTTGGAGATAGTAGAAATGCATGTACCGGACCGCGTGCTTCAACAATTTGGTCGTGCATAACATGTTTCGCAATTTGTTAAAAAGATAGAAAGAAAGGCAAAGAAAGGAGGCCAACAAATAAACTGGATGAACGTGCATCAAGCTTTTATACACAGATAGAATGATAGACATTTTTGTATTGTCAACCAAATTAACCAACTCCTCGGGAATCAGATTACTACACTTGGTATTGGGGGATAACCCGAAGATGGATACTTCATGCGACTACAATACCGGTTGAGTCGTAAAGAGGATATGTGCCCCGGGGTATAGATGAGAGAGAAATAGTAAGTATTTTTATATTTTGATTTAAGTCCATGTTTATTGGTATTGCTCAATATTGCTAAGATGTGTTGAAAATTTTGCAGGTATCAGCAATAGATGAAGTTCAAACTCTTGCAAATCGTGGCTTGGAATTGGCTCGAGCAGGTACGATAGAATTAAATATCAAATTTACATTCTTTAATTTAAAATTTTAATATCAAATTTTGGATTTTTTGAACTATCTATCACAGGTAGAAATCTCGAAGCACATGAACATGTATCAATATATCAGTCCATAATGCAGAGGCTTCAACAAGCCTTACACCGAACTCACGAAGATCATCATGATGGACGGGAGGTAACGCCATTCGTATACACACGACAACAGCGACAAAGTCGAGGACGACGCAGAAATAACGATGAAACTGGACCTTTCCAACGTGTTACCTATGGAACTGGACCGTCACAACCACAAACACAACCGGATCACGAACTCGTCTAAGGACAGAATGGAGGACGACGAAGATAAAGGAGGAGGAGAGTTCTTGGATGTATGTAAACTACAGGTTATATACATTACAAAACTATTTATGGATGTGACATGGATTTTGGATTTGTAGTCGGACTATGGTGTGATTTGTTGGATTTCTAAGTGGGTTTGTGGTGTTATTATGTTGGATTTGTTAGTGGGAGGTGATTTGTTGGATTTCTAAGTGGGTTTGTGGTGTTATTATGTTGGATTTGTTAGTGGGAGTTTGTGGTGTGATTTGTTTGATTTGAAATGAGTATGTGGTGAAATTCATGATATTTAGATTTGTAAATAAGTTTATGGTGAGTATGTGGTGAAATTCATGATATTAGATTTATATATGACTTTGCATTTAAGTTTATACAGGGACTACATGAAGTGCAGCCAAAAAGTGCACAAAAACGTGCACACGAAGTGCACGGGACTAGTCGTAAAAGCCCCACCGCTGCAAAACCGACCCTTTTCTTCTGAAAAGGGTCGGTTTTGCTAATAATTTTTCTTGAAGGTCGAATTTGCCCATTAAATTTCAAAAAATGTCGGTTTTAAAATTTTCTCCTATTCTATGCTATTAGCTTTTACATCCAAGTTAATAAGCCAATTTTGCAAAAATTAAACAGAGGGGTTAACGTGTCACATTTAAAACCTTTGGGGGATCTTCTGTGAATCATGCAAATTATAGGACTTTCTGTAATTTAGGCAAACACAATCAATGAAAACATTCTACTGAATAGACAATGCTTATATTATGGAAGACAAACCTTTAAAGCTGCATCGGCATCTCTTATTGCAGCATTTGGTTTGTTCAGCTTAATGAAAATACCAGCTGAAAAATAACGAATATTTAGTAAGTATTGCTGAACAAAATAGGTGAAACTTCAGCACTGCAGAAAATAGGTGAAACTTCAGCAAATATACAATAAACTAGTGTTACCTCTATTTCCATATAGGATTGCTGAAGTTGGATTTAACAAGATAGCCTCTGTTAGATGTTCAATGGCTTCCTCAAGTTTACCTAAAATACAATATTTCAAACTCAAAACTTTAATATGAGAACAAGAAACATAAATTCTCGTAATATACAAGTTTCCGCTTACCTTCAGAGATTGCGTCCATAGCTTTTGCTTTCAACACTTGAGCAGCATCACGACTCTCTTCAGAAACTTCAATTGAAGGATCTCCCATCTGCAAAAAATCATTTAAGACAAATTCCATGCAGATAACTGTATTTTGACAACAATCATATAAAGGAAGTATAGGTCAAAAGGCTCAATCTAGCCACTTTAGCAAATACCTTCTGTGGAGGATCATTATCTGGTTCAATGACTTCCCCTTCAAACTCAATGTCTGATTCAACAATTTCATCTTCAAAGCCTTCATCTTTAACCTTCTCCTTGGCTTTCTTATTATCATCATAAGCATTTGGCATGCTATCGTCACTTTCTTGTTTTACGTGACTTTTCTGTAAAGTTTAAATTACTGAATTTGAATAGTTGGCATTGCAATGAGAAAAATAAGACGCTGATAATTGGAACTAATTAAACTCCGGCAATGAGAACAAGGGTACTTCAAACAATATTTCTATAAAAAGAAAACTCAAATGAACAGAAGACCACAAGTATAGACTTCAGAAAAATATAAAAAAAATATACAAACCTCTAGTTGATCACGGTGGTTGAAAATAAGGATTGATAGTGCAAAGTAGCCAATAACATTTTCTCTTCTGGAAAATAAGTATTGAAGTTATCTTGTTATTTGGCAACCAAACTAGGATCACGTAACAAAGCAAGACTAAATTTCTGTTCAAAGCAATGATAATGTGGATTTCAGCAGTATCTAAAAGTCATAAAGAAATGCACTTGGGACAAAGCAGGAAAGCATGCAACTTTACACTCGGCAAAATGGACTTGAGACAAAAGCATTGCAATATGGTGTGCGTGGAATAACTAACTGAAGACCAGAAGCATAGACGGGTTGGCCATTGTATTTATGAGCTTATCTCAAAGATACTTATGTTCATCTACATTATAAATCATTCAATTTTAATTTCTAATCATTATAACTACGAAGTCCGGAATACGTTTTTGAAGATTTCACATGAGGACAAATAAAAATTGTCGTTAGTTAAAAGAAAGGGACAAAATAACTAACTAATCCTTAAAGTATGGGTGAACCCTTAACATTTCTCCTTAAGTATCAATTTACCTATTTTTCTACTTACACTATGTCTATGGGTACAATGTGAACATTTTGTGAGCCCGTGATAAAATATTTAAAAGATTAATGACGTGATGGCTAAGTCGCATGGGTACGGGTACGGGATACGTAAAATTTATAGAAGGTAGGGTACAGGGACACGGCTATGAATATGTATTTTATGTATATTTGTAGGAATTAATAATTACATAAGATCAATATTGTTTTTTTGTTTACATGAGATCAATATATTAGAAATAGATGTGAAGTATAGAATATAAGCCAAGAAGTGTATGAGTGTTTTAAATTAAAACATGTAGTATATGATTGAGTATATGCTTGAAAAAAATGTATGCATATATTCAAGAAATGTCCAAGAAGTTTAGGGATAGGTACAGGTATGTGTCGGGTACAAGTACTGCTTCCAAATAGACGTACCCTCATAACATAGCATGATGGTGTTTCTATGCATTTCTTTATGGATTTTTATCAGTTAGTCTCCTTATTTCCTAGACCGCAAAAAAAAAAATCTTAATATTTTTACTATTTATCCCTTTTTAAAGTTAAAAATTATTTTTTTCAATTAAATAAAATACAAAATCACATCATTATATTGTTTAAATAATTGACTTAGAGCTACAAAATAACCACATTGAACATATACACATAGTTTAGGAAGGTAAATACGAAAATTGATATTTGATGGGGAACTTGAGAGTTCGCCAATACTTCAAGGGGATTTGATCATTTATATATAAGTTACTTGGGATGAATAGTGCTTAAGTACAGTTCGTCCCAGTTAACTTTACTACATATAATACAATACGAGTCTCATGACAAGCACACCAATTGGCCTGGTGGAACAACAATTGACTCACAAGTTAGAAGTACAGAGTTCGAATCATGCCATTTATAAGCAATCGTCAATTTTTTTTGTTTTTCACATGAAACCCAAAGTTTTAATCCAATTTATTTTTATATACTCACTTTTAAAGTTGTTACTTTACCTATTAACCCTAAGCTTTATCCTATGCATTATTTAACACACCTAAAATTTTACTAAAGATTTTTATCAATAAACCCAATGTTTTACCCCAATCTACTTTTAAGCCCACCCACTTCTAAAGCGTCATTTGTCTATGAACAAAGTTTTATCCCTGTTTATTTCAAATACACCCACTTTCATGGTGATTTTTCTATAAGTTGCTATTGTTATAACTTGATAGTTTTTCGTTCTAACTGACTAAGTGCATGGTATTTTAAACAAAGCACTTAAAACTATTATTTTGTTTGTTTTTTTCACGCTAAGGTCACGTTATCACAAATTGTAGATGAATTTTTGTGTTTATAAACTCCAAATTTTATCCCCATCTATTTTTAAACTCACTCACTTCCAAAAGAGTTGTTTGTCTATAAACCAAACTATTACCCTCATTTAGTTTTAAACTCAACCCAATTTCAAAATCACTCTTAGACCCTAAGTATTTAATCAAATTAATTTTGAACTCATAATTGTATTTGAGCAATTTGAAATGCAGTGTCCGTTGCTATATTTTAGTGCAATCTGCTATGCTTTTTCTAAGTGGTTAGTTGCATAATGTATTTTTTAATCAAATGCAAAAACTAAAGCTACAGCATCGCGTGGATCAATTTTGTTTGTTTTGTCCTAAAAGAAACACACAGGTCGACCATTAAGACCATTGAGATACTTTATGGAGCCTGTCATTGTTCATATCAATGAATACCTTTTCAATCTAATCTCTTTCCCATTAAAATTTTATTAAAATTTAAAAAAACAACTTTTTCATCTACGAAGAGGGAAGATGAACAAGGTTACAAACCTTGACATACACAAACATCATACGTTACTAACTAGAGACCTCAGCAATAATGTATACTACAGAGGAAGATTGGATAATGTACGACCAGAGAAAAAGACAGAAGCTTTATGAAGCTTTATCAGCAAGGACGAATGCATCAGTTGCAAACATCAAAATATCAACACATAATCAAACTTCAATTTACAATTGGCTATGTCCAACCTCCTCAGTTAGTAGTCTCTTATACTCGAAAAGTTTAAAATAGGATATAGTTTTGCAATTGGTAACCATACCCTAATCATATAGTAATACCAACTACTGAAACTAAAAAACTCAACAAACTCATCAACTAAATAAGTCTAAAATCTAAACAAAACCCATCTAATAAATACCCAAACTAAAATCAAATACTTTAATTTCAAACATTGGCTGCAATAAAAAACATTAGTTGAAGAAGAATGTCTCACCATTTTTGTTGGGTTTGCAGGAATATTGGCGCCAAGGCTGAAAATTTTATTTTAACAAAAATCAACCTCATGAATCACAAGCAGAAGAGAAACTAGAGAAGGGCTTAAAAAGATAAAAAATAGGTAATAGGGGAAAAAATTGAAAATTAGGAAAAGGGTACCTCTCAAGATAATCCTTGAAGAAACCGAGGGAAGGATCGAGGAGACCTGAGGGGTTTGATTTGCAATAGCTGACGAAATCTCGAAGCTGGGTCACTTTGTCTGCATCCATTTTCTTTGATTTCTCTCTCTTGCTCTCTGCTTTCAAGGGTCCTCAGGAGTCAAGGTGAGTGGAGAGTATAAAAATAGGAGTGGTTTTAGGAAATGGAAGGGTCCGGGCTTTGAAGATGCAAAGTGGGCCGGATCGGGTCTGATTTGACGCCCGCTTCAAAAGCATCCTTTCGGCTAAAATATTCTCCAAATATCTCGTGTAATTTACATCGCCTAAGTATCTCTATATCCTAAAGACAGGAATTAGGATGTCAAATCTTTGTATGTCGCGGTTTCTTTTCATATATTTCTTAAATTATATTCTCTTAGTTACTTACTACCAAACTTTCTTGGCAACGTGTTCGCCACAAACCCTAATAAAGCTTTTGCCACAAACATCTGTTAATATATCTTAAGCCAAAACTTTTTGCTATAAACCCTAATAAAGTTTGCCACATCATCACTTCTTTTCTCAAATAGAACGATATGTGTCCTAAATCCTAACCGTCCATCTTCCAAGAACAAAATAACTTAAATCTATAAAAAAAACCCATCCATTTTAAACAACCTATTCAATCTCTCTCATATTACAAACCTCTCTAATACGATCAATCAATCACCAATTTAAATCCAATCTCAACCGATTTCTTTCTCTCCTATCATCGTCATCAATCATGTAATCCCTAAATATCTCTGTGGAATTATACCCAGAATTTCCATCTTGATGACAAACTAACCAAAAAATCCTCACGGCCAAAAAATATAAATATTACTTAAAATAATTCTGAAAAAAATCCCCATCGGCTTTTCACCACCATTTTCGTCCATCGTCCCTCAATCTCGGTGAGTTTCTTGACAACCTCCCCTTTTAATTTCCATTGATTGGTTTTTTCCTTAAAATGTTTTATGTCGTATACTATTTTTTCAGATCACTCCCTCCTATTTTTTATTTTTCTTCCCAATAGCATCAACAACTACTCACGAGTAAGAACGCTTCACGTTATTGGATTTGTTATTTTTAATATTTAGGTGATAATTGTCCTTATATGGCCGCTGATTTTTTTTAGCAATTTGTTATACGATTTTAGTTTTTAATCCCTTCTTGTCAGGCCAAGACAGGTATCCCTTCTCGCAAGGAGTCGTCCCTTGTCGCCAGAAGGCATCCTTGTTAGGCTAAGACAGGCATCCCTTCTTGCAAGGAGTCGTTCCTTGTCGTCATTAGGCGTCCCTTCTCGCTAGACCAAGACAAGAGTCTCTTCTTGCAAGGAGACGTCTCTTCTCGCCAGGCCGAGACAGACGTCCCTTCTCGTAAGGAGTCGTCCATTCTCGCTAGGAGGCATTCCTTCTTACCAGACCGAGACAGGAGTCCCTTCTCACAAGGACTGTCCCTTGTCGTAAGGAGGTGTCCCTTCTCACTAGGCCGAGACAGGCGCCTCTTCTCGCAAGGAGTCGTCCCTTGTCGCTAGGAGGTGTCCCTTCTCATAAGGTCGAGTCATCCCTTTTCTCGCCAGGAGTCGATCCTTCTCGCCAGGAGGCATGAGACCCTTCCCGCTAGGCTGAGGTAGCCGTCCCTCCCCGCCAGGCCGAGGTAGGAGACCCTTCCAGCCCAATCAATCAAGAACTTTCGCCCAAGACTTCCAGCCCAGTCACGTCATCAACTCGGACGACTCCAGCAAAAGACATTAGCATCCTCCTCAGGGTCAAACTAAGGCACATCATCAATTAAATCATCTTCGGCTCTAAGACATTGGTGTCATCTCATGAATAAGCCTAAGGCATGTAACCAAGACCTTGGTGTCGTTTCGATAAAATCCAAGGTCCAAGGTCAAGGCATCCTCGGTATAAAGGCACGTAGTTTTATTTCACTCGGACTCGACCAGTCGAGTCTGAGCGAAAGGGGTAAGTGTTGTGCCATAGAAATAAACATGTGTTAATCACATTCAACTTGTTGATACGTGTGTCAAGCAAACTATCCCCCAAGTTAATGCAGACTGACCTTTGTGGCCAGACTGAGACAAGCATGCCTTCTCGCTAGGCTGAGATAGGCGTCCCTTCTCGCCTAGTCGAGTCGTCCCTTCTTTCCAGGCGGAGTTATCCTTTCTCGCCAGGTTAAGACAGTCATCCCTTCTTATCAGGCTGAGATAGGTATCCCTTCTCGCCTAACTGAGTCGCGCCTTCTCTCCAGTCTAAGACATGCGTCCCTTCTCACCTGGCCGAGTCGTCCCTTCTTGCTAGGTCGAATCATCCTTTCTCGCCAGGCCGAGTCGTCCCTTCTCTCCAGGCTGAGATAGACATCCCTTCTCACGAAGCCAAGTCATCCCTCTCACCAGGTCGAGACAGGTGTCCCTTCTTGCCTAGTCAAATTGTCCCTTCTCACCAGGCCGAGACAGGCGTCCCTTTTCACCAGGCCGAGTCATCCCTTCTCGCTAAGCCTAGTCGACAACTTGAAGGTCAACTAAAAAGGTAGTACGAGTCATCCCCTCTCATCAGGAGGTCGTCCCTTCTCGCCAGGTTGTGTCATCCCTTCTCTCCAGTCATAGACAACCCTTCTCACAGGAGGCTCCGTTCCCACCAAGTCGAGTCGACCCTTCTCCCTAAGCCGGGTCGAAAGGTTATCATCCTTGAGCCCCAGACTAACAACTAGTCACCATCACATTAAATGCATTATCAGAGTCATTATTGCTTTAGCCCCCATAGTCTTTATGTCTCATCGGGCTCCATCAGGACCATGCTTCCTCTGTTCACCATCATATTAATCAAGAAGGTGACGCATGCCACTCACAACCGACATATGTAAAGTAACTGCTGACTAAACATTCTGCTTGGACTCATCCAAAATTATAAAATTGCCCCTCTGAACCTAGTATAAATAGAGGAATTGTCTGCAGCACGGGGGTAAGCAATTTCTTGCAAAAAACACACTATCTCCATATTTTACTTCTTCACTCAAGCTCAAATACTAATTTGATCATCGGGGGAACCACCAGAGAACCCAACTCTGGTCCTCTAACGTGTTGCAATTTTGCAGGAAGCTCAACAGTCTATTAGGAATCAACCATCAAAGGAGATCAATGGACCTTCATCAACTTGATATTTTTTTCTTAGTGACTGTTTGATCAGCCATCAACACTAAATAAAATCAGACTAATCCCAAAAGACTAAGAAAGTTGTGTCAAGAAAAAAAATAACACGCAGAAGAAGAAATGAATTAGCCCACCTAAATGACAAAAAGAAATACAATCTGCTAGTCCACCACATGAAAATATAGATCATATTCCTCCAAATGACTACTCAAATCCTATGTTTGATGAGTTCAGTGGTCAAGCTATTATTAAGAAGCAGTTTATAAACTTGATGTGGATGCTCAAGTCAATGCAGAGAAAGATCAAGATGGAGAAACAAATATGAATGCAATAAATGGATATGCTAGTGAGAAGTCAGTTGACTCCTTTGATAGTCAAGCTCAAGAGGCTTTACACAGTGACAATGATGAGTTATTTGAAATTAGGAAAAGAAATAAAAATATGTTTGATGATGTAAAGAATAGAATTATTGTTGAAGCTGGCTCATTCTTATCAAACAATGATAAACATCCTCACAGGAGGGTTGAAATGCACACTGAAAGCCAAAATAGTGATGCACCAAATGAGACAAGTAATGTGTCACATGAGATACAAATTGATGTACCACCTAGCATGTCGAGTGATACAATAAATGAGACAAGTGATGCACGACATGAGACACAAACTGATGTATCACCTAGTATGACAAGTGATTCACCAAATGCACCACCTATTGTGTCAATTGATGCACCAATTCACCACCTATTGTGTCATGTGATACATCAAATGCAACATAAAGAAATGTCACAACATCAGAAGGCAGTGAAAAGGGGTTTAACTTTAAAGATACAAGAAGTAAAGGAATAATTTCCAAGAAAAATAAATGGCAAATGTTTGGATGGCATATGAAAGGGGGTATCAATATGAAGAAAGAGTCAATGATGATGAGGGAGCCAAAGAGGACAGTGATGATAATGTAATTGTGAATGAAAAAAAAAAGAAAAATGATGGAGGAGATGAACTACAAGTGGTTCAATGAGGATAATGATATGAGGCTAGTTTATTCTGAAGAGGGTTTGAAGTTCACATCTAGGAAAACATCGAAAGAGGAAATTCTAAACTATTCAATTTAGACCCATTATGACTTGTTTTATGGGAAAAATGACAATAAGAAAATATCAATCTCATATGCACACTATCATTGGCAAATTAATACAGGTCTAGATAGAAAGATAAGGTCTCATGGCAAATAAAAAGCATACACCCACATCACACATGTAGCAGAACTTTTGAAAATAGATTAATTACAGAGGTATGATTAGCACACAAATATCTTGATAAAATTTTAAGGAATCCAAAGTTGTGGCCAATGGATATGAAAGAGGACATGCTTGTTATTTATCAAATCAATGTTTGTTAAGAATATGTCAAAGAGCTAAAGAAAGGGCATTAAATGCTATGGAGGGCCTGATGAAAAAGCGGTATGATTTGTTGAGACTATGCATGAGAGAGTTATGTAAGTCTAATCCAAATACTACACATGTGTTAAAGGTTATGAATGCAGAGGATTGTCAGCCAGCTACCTTTTTTAGATTCTACATATCATTTGATATCTTCAAGACTATATTTGCACACACATGTAGGAGAATATTAGGTGTTGATGGTTATTTCTTAAAATATACTTGTGGAGGACAATTATTGAGTGTTGTTGGGAGATATGGAAATAACCAAACGTGGCCTATTACATAGGAAATTATAGAGGGAGAGTCAAAATCTTCAAGGCAATGGTGTCTAAGGGTGTTGAATTCAGATTTACACATAGATAGTGGTGAAGGTTGGACCATCATCTCTAATCAACAAAAGGTAACTTATTTATTTTTTGTATGCTATTAAACCCTTATTGAGTTTTGTTTTTTAACTTGTTTTAATTTTTCACATGCCTTACCTTTTTTGGTACGATTTGATACTAGCTATTCATGAGGAGTGGCTAGATATTGAACATAGATAATGTGCTAGACACATTTATTCAAATTAGAGGAAGATTC